TATGCAGTTTAGTTCCCCCCTGCACCTCCACTCCTGTGGTTACCATGAAAATGCAGGTTGGCGTTTATAGCTAGGAATGTTTTTTCAGTTTGAGCTACCATACCAACTGTGGTCATATCTAGGAAAAGCTGCCAAAGATTGTTCTGTGATGGCCTCACATCTTTGGCAGGCCATCCCCCAGGACATATGTGTGGTCTCTTTGAAGGGGATTTTAAGGATATGCTTTCTCTAAGTTGGAATTGAATAACTTTAGCGTATTTTGTTTTTAGCTAAATTTTTAGCTGCTACTGCTGTTATTTTGTTATGTCACATTTTGAATTGATTCAATATACTGTGTGTGTTTGTGTGTGAATGATACTGCTCTTAAGATTTGTTTTGTATTTTTAATTAATGTTCTGGTTTGTGAAGGTTTTTATTTTATAAGGCAGGCAATAATTCCATTAAATGTTTGTCTTAAAAGTATTTGTATATTATTCTTAAATAGCCATGCATTTTACTTAGAGGAATGGTAGGGAAATATTTTGATATATTCTCAGCCTATCTAGGCTTGTATATTCACTGTAGGATATAGGATGGGAAATAATATATTTAAAAGAAGGAAGACAGTACTGATATTTGGAGTTTTAAATGAAAAATAAGGGCAGCTGACTTAAATAAATGTATGCAATAGTAAATTAATATGTGAGATTATATATAACACACATGTAATGGAAAATTATTGTTAATTCTTCCCTAAATGTTCCTTGCATGTATTTCCAAAGTCGATCATTATTTGAGTCCCATGTTAAAATTTCCTTTTTCTTTGCAGTTTCAAATGCTTGGATAAGACCTTCACCTTTGATTTCTTAATAGTATAATTACTATAACTTCATTGGAGATTTACATGGAAGAATAGTATGGAGAAGTTGTATAGTAGCTCATATATTCTAGCATGACTAAGCTACAGAGTAAATGAACCTACTCAGTTGATTTCATATGATGGCTTCCTTTTTGAAGTAAACAAAGTTTCATGTACCACACTGATTTAATTACAACTTACCTGTTTTTAAAAACTTAATCTAATTGTAGTAATTGTGCGGAATTACTTTACTTTAATAAAACTTAATATTTTATGATGACTTGTTACTTTTTTTTTCTTCCCACAAGGATCGTTATCTGATCCCCTTAATATTTCTGGGTTAAGCCATTTTTGTGAACATATGCTATTTTTGGGAACTGAAAAATACCCAAAAGAAAATGAGTACAGCCAATTTCTCAGTGAACATGGAGGGAGTTCAAATGCTTTTACAAGTGGAGAACACACCAACTACTACTTTGATGTCTCACACGAACACTTGGAAGGTGCTCTTGACAGGTAAGCATATCTTAATTATTCAATATGTATATTGTTAATCACCATGTGATTTTTACTGGGAGTAAAAGTTCACTTAATGTACTCTGTACTTCTGGCAAAACCTTTATTAGGCCAAATTGAAATTTTAAGTCAATGCAGTTATGATTCCTTTTCATGGAACCTGGAAAATATTGAATTTAGTGTTACTACAACAAGTTCTTACATGGAAGGAAGAGGACACTGCATCATCCAGCGGCCATACAAATTTGTTAAATAAATAAATACACCTTGCCAGCACTATTACTTGAGGTTCTGTTCTTTTCCATCACTAAGCAATCCTGTCCAATTTAGTTTTTATTGACTTTTGTTACATAGAAAACCAACCCCAAATATACCCAGCTTTGTTAATATATGGATTTTGATAATTGTTTTCTGTATTTTCAATTAGCCAGGTGTTATGCATCTCCTGATAGGATAGAAGCAATTTTGACTCTGACAGCTGGGATTTACGTTTTCAAATGTGAAGAACTTACAAACATTTGATTGTTTCTTCTTCAGAATAAGCTTTGGGAGAATATTTATGTGAAAATAATCTATAGTTGCTAAGTGTAAATTTTTATGTCTGAAATCTCTATCATTATGTTTGACCAGGTAAACTGGTATAGAATGAATCACTCCATAATCTGCTTTATCCTTTTTGCTTTCTCTAACCAACTTGCCTAGTGAAAAGTTCTTGAAACTTCAAAGGTTGGAGTTATTTTGTACAAATTCAGTTGATATAATAAAGAGACTGCCTCTGTGGAGTTTGGATTATTTCCTCCTTTCTGAAATAATTAAATATTTACAAAATGTGAATATTAAATAACTGGAAAAAGACTGTTGACATTTTGGATGTAATAGCAGTAAAATGTAAGATATTTTATATAAGTCCCTTGATTGATACGTAGAAATAGTTTTCCAGTGAGAAAAAATTCAGCAATGTTAGAATGTGTAAGACTTCATATCTGGGTTTACATTACCTTACTACTTTATATAGCTATGAACTTATTACAGGTACTCCTCACTTAATGACCATTTGTTCAGCGGCTGTTTGAAGTTACGATAGTGCTGAACAAAGGAACTTACAACCCGTTCTCCAAGTTCTGGCCATCGCAGCACCCCCTCAGTCACGTGAACAAAGTTCAGGTCTGCCTGCATTTACAACTGCTCCCCCTGCTGCTGCCTGCCCCCCCACCCCAGCTGACCCTCCATTGGGCTCATGATCCTGGCCATGTGCAGGGGAGGCACCATGGAAACATCCCATAAGCCAGTGGATGAGAGCTACAGGTGGGTGTGTGTGTGCTGCACTGCACACCGGCCAGGACCTCCTTTTGCATGACGGCCAGGTCCTCCTTTTGCCTGGTGGCCAGGTCCTTCTTTGTTGCTGTGGCTAGGACTGCCTCTCTCGAAGGAAGGACCTAGCAGGTGTGCAAAAGAAGGCCCCGGCTATGCTAGCATGAAAGAAGGCATCGGCCAGCACACAAAAGGATGGTCCTCTTTTCATACCGGCACAGCCAGGACCTGCTTT